TTTTCGCAAAGAGGACGTCCAAACACATTGAGTTTTTCCAGATTTTCGGCAAAAGGATGCAGGAAGCCCACGCCAGCAAAAAAGCCGGCAGGGGGAATCGGGAGCCTTTAGACTTGGCGGCGACACTGGCTCCCTGGAAGACTACAAGCTTTAGTGGAACGCTTACTCACCGTTGCGCAGACGTATTTCCCCAAAAACCTACGTAATAGACGTCGGGCGGGGGGGGGTTAGGGGGGGGGTTATCCTCTATCCTCTAGTAAGTATCCGACGCCGAGCAACGTCGGCGGATATGGACAGCCCCCCCCCATGAACTACCTTTACTTCTTTCTTCATAGAATGACTGCAAAAACACTCAGTGTTTCCATAGACATTGCAACAGCACCCAAAAGGTAATTAGTTCATCGGGGGGGCCTGAGCCGCAGAGCATACATATATATATATATGTATTTGTATCTTCTAGGGGAGTACCCTAAACGCGGTGCCCATGGGTTGCTTTGGGACATGGACGCATCGAGAGGCAAGTGGCCTGCGCTCTCCGCAGATGCTTCTTGGGCGCCTCGAAGCTCCTAGGCGGAGAAGCCATGCCGGCCATGGGCGCCGTGCCGGCGCCGTGCTCGCACTCTGTGCATGCGGGGTGTTGTGTCATGTTCCTTTTGGCGAGAACTCTAAGACCCTTTTTTGGGCTTGGTTCGAAGGGAACCCTAAAAAGGAACATACTTGTGTCGTTGTTTGTTTTTTTCCGTTCTGTTGTTGTTGTTTGTTTTACTTTTTCCGGAATATACTTTTTTAAATGTAGGTTCCAATATTTTGAGACACATCCTGTTCTGTTGTCCGTGTGTTGAAAAAATGTTGTGGTTTGTTATGCTGGCTGTACATTGGTAGTGCATCGCTTGGGTGCAACCTAGCTGCTTTCATAGGCTTTGAACCCTTGGTGCAAAGGTGGTTGTTTGCCTTGGTGTTTGATGTACGTACCGGGGCTATTTTCTAACATTTTCTGGTTTGGTTGTGGGTCAGACTCAAGCATATGACTTTGGTAAGGCAAAGGCTGTACATATAAGCTGGCTGGAAATGCGGTTGGTTGCCTGGTTGCTGGCCGACTTTGTTGGAATTGGTGCTGTTTTGATTTGGGAATTTGGCGTGTTGTGTTTTTGGAAAGAGGGGAAGATTGATTATATATTTCATTTGCTGAAGCTTAGTCTGTTCTATTTTACACTGTTGTTTTGTTTTAAGGGAATCTATTTTTACTGTTTTCCCCCGGAAAACTTGAGCAAATGGAAGGGCTATTCCACTGATTTCCTGTTGGCACAGTTCACTTTAGGTCCAGCTGCTCCCCTGGCCAATGTTGGTTGAGCTTCCCTTTGGGGGATGTCTGGCTGTTTGGCCAGCTGGCAGTCTGTAAGTCTGTATGCCTGTATGTTTGTATTAGCCTGGGTTGGTGGTTGGATTCAGACCACTTTTTGAGGGGAACAATCCCCCTATTAACAAACAGGTGAGGTCGAATTTTCTATGGGGTCAACATACTGTCTCGTTGTGTTTGTATGTCTGTGTGTGGAAGAAGAAGATGCTGGTCAACCCTGGGACATGGCTGGAACGTGAGGACTTCATCCATGCGGACCACAGCGTGGAGGAAGGCACGCAGCTGGTGTCTGCAGCCCTCAGCGAGTTGAGCCGCATCAAGACTTCCAAGAAACGGCGCGTGGTTGCCATGAACATGTGGCGGAAACTTGGAACCGCAATAAATTTGCAGTTGCGCGAAATCCTTCGAGCTGAAAGACAACACCTCCACCTAACAGACGCGATGAATTTGAGGGAGCAGTTTCCAGGGGACGCCGAGCCGAGGGAAGGCGGTTGCAACCTGCATGTTGAAAGTCATTCAACTCTTACGGATTCCGGGCAAACGGTTTGTGGGACGCCAGCCATTTCTTGTCGGTGGTGCTGGAAGCCTCGTTTCTCCAGAAATCCGCAGAAGCTATCCAGGGGTGTCCATTGCTTGACTAAAACGGCAACCTTTCTTTAATGCTGCGCAAACTGAGGAATGCGCGCTCTTCGCCCATCAAAAATCATCACCTGGCAGTGGTGAATGCGCAAACCGTGTCTGATGAGGAGCTAAGAGCAGCCACTCTGCCTCAGCGAAGTCAAATTTTGGGAATTCGTTTCCACAGAACTCCCAGCTTCGGCCCACGCGCGAGACCCACGCAACCCAAAGCGTGCGAAGGTGTAAGGTTCGAACCACAGAGAGACTGGGAAAGGAACAACTGGTTTCGGGTCCGCGTTTGTAGAAAACACATTAACCTGCGGCCTTTTTTTTTGCAAAGCCGAAGGGCGGCGTGTTGGGGATGTGTCAAAATAGGGAACACTGCAGATCGCAGGGTTTCGTTGGCTTCCCAACAAACAAGCTTAAAAGAGCACCCACTCAAGCATCAAGCGCAAAAAAGCCAATACACACACACACACACCACACACGCACACACACACACACACACTCACACAAAACACATACACACATACACACCCCACACCCCACACTTGACACACCACACTCCAGACACCCCACACACCACACGACCACACACATTAAACACACACCTCACACACGCACACACATCACCACAACGCGCACAACACACACACACACCAAACACACCAAGCGCACACACACACGCACACACCACACACACACACACAAAAAAAAAAAGCACACCCACACACCACACTCCCACACACACACCACATACATACCAAACTGAACACACAAGACAACGCACGCACGCACGTACGCACACACACAGCGCACAGCGCACAGCACACAACACACACACACATAAAACACACACCACACACACAACACATACACGCAGCACACACACACACACCACACAAACACACACACCACACAAACACACGCACAGCACACACACATACACAGCACACCCTACACAGCACACCCTGCACACCACACCCCCGCACACCACACATTACACACCACAAACACCACACACCAGACACACACAGCACACACGTTAAACACACACACACACACCTACACACATACAACACCACACCCTACACTTCACATACCACACACCACACTCCACACACCCCACACTCCACACACCCCACGCGCCACACGACCACACACATTATACACGCACACACACACACAGCACAGCACAGCACAGCACAGCACAGCACAGCACAGCACAGCACAGCACAGCACAGCACACAACACAACACACACACACACACACACCACACACACACATGCACAACACACACACACACCACACACCCTATACGACACACAACACAACACACACACACACACACTCGCACATAACACAAACCCTACACACCGCACACACACACATACACACATTACAAACACCACACCCCCAACACACACACACACACACCACACACACAACACACAACACACAGCACACAACACACAACACAGACACGGCACACACACACGGACATCACACATACCCATACACACACCACACCCTACACACACACACACCACCGTACACACCACACACACACACCAAGCATAAGGCAACACGCACACACACACACACACACACACACACACACACACACACACACACACACACACACACACACACACACACACACACACACACACACACACACATTTCAGTGGCCTGGATGCAAAGGCCAAGTTTAAGAACTACGCCATGGGCGGATTGCAGCAGTACCACATGACACATTTGGAGCCCCAGCACAGGCCGGGCAGGCTTGAGGGGATTAAGCTCGCTTGGGTTAGGTCGGAGAAAGAGACAAATCGTCAAACAGACGAAGCAATTCATCGGGACCCTGTGTGCTTGCAACCTTGTTTCCAAATTGTTTTTTGGACCGAATTGATGAGTCCCAACTCAAAAAACAGGTTGGGGCTTGAACAATAGCTGGATTTACAACTCACTCTCTGAGTTCCTGGACGTTCTACTTTTTGTGAAGACCATATTGGTGGCAAAAACAAGTTCAGACTTTTTCTGGCCAATCCACTCTGGAAGTGGGTGGTTCAGGCACCCTCCAGCAATTCCCAGTGCTCAGCGGCGCGAATTGATCACCTTGCATGTCCAGATCCAAACTGGGCAAGTGAGCCACAATCAAAACCCGGGTAAGTGAAGATTAGGAAGGGACAATCCCAACCATAAATAGCTGCGGAAATCCGCCTTAATTCTTGAAGCACAGTTCTGGGATTACCATTTTGGTACCGGGCTTTGATGACTCAAGTGAGGATGGTTTCGACCTGTTTTTTGGGTTACTGAACTGGCGGGACCGAGCGACGAGCAGCAAGCAGGCTGGTCTACTTCCCCCACATGCAGGACAAGGAGATCCTGGCCTTCAAGCAGGGTCGGGGGTGCTGTACAAATTTATGCATGTTATTTGAGGTGTGTTCCCGAAAAAGAGGAGGAAGTTCCTCCTAATCAGGCTTTTTGAGATGATTTCCCCAAAAAGAGGGTTCCTCCTAAATCATTTGTTTACCTTCAGAAAACTGAGGGCCCCTTTGTTTGGGTTTTCAAGGGACACTGGAAACGCCAATGCTTATCTCACTTGCCCAAAGCCGCTTGTTCAACCTGTTGGCTTCCACGAATTGGTCCATAATTCGCAATGGCCACAGGAACAGCTGGACCCTCAAACTTCCCTTCAAGATGGACGATTGCCCCAAGAAATTAAGGTGTCGATTCACTTTATTTTCTGGGTAGTTTGAGGGTTCAACCTCGATTTCCGCCCCAAGGGTCATGACCCCTCCAGACCCCCGGACTGTCCAATGGAGAACCCCGAGCCCTCACGGGTCCTCAAAAACAACCCATTTGGAGGGCCAACATACAGTCGGGACCCTTAGGGTTCATGGATGTAATGCCACTTCCGAAGTTGGACTCTTTTACATTGATCTGCAGGCCATGGGAAAGAACATGATTTTAGGGACTTTTTGGGATCCCGCCTTTGATTTCTAGGTTGTTTTCGGGCAGCTCGGGCATCATTTTTGGTTCCCTTCAGGTTCCTACGAGGTGTCCCCCGCGCTGGACCACACACAAGTGCCTTGCACCGTGGCTCGGCCGGCTCGTAGTCCAGTGGGGGTCCCTTGCGACATGGGCGAAATGGGCTTCCAACTTGACATGAACATTGGTACTAGTAAAGTTCCTGGACTTGTTTTTTTTGGTTTGGGCCATTAGGTTTGCACCTCCGCTTGTCGAGTCGTTTTCCCCGGGGATACGTCTTCAACGTCAAAAAAATGGGGTGTGGAAAGTCATGCCCTTTTTAGGCATGAATAGATCTGGATGGCACTGCTTTGGCTTGGTTTGATTCCATGTACCAGGTCACCTGGGGTGGATTTCGGCCCGATGTCGGCGCAGTCCAACCACGCTAAGGAGTGCATGGTGACACCTCAGGCGGAGGTTCACGCGAGCCACGTGCTGCACACCTCGTTTCTGGATCCCACAGCACCCTCAGATGCGGTGCCACGGAAAGCGATTGCTTGTGAGGGAATCCTCGTCTTCATGCATGAGGCGTAAGATGCATTTTTGACTGCCCCTCCCAAGCTCGAGATGAACGAAGCCTCAGTTGTCCAAAGCGAATCGACCGGATCTGACCTTTTGGTTTCGCCAGTTTGGTCCATTTTTTTAGTCATTGCCCCAAGAGATTGACTTTGTATTTCTGGATCCTTTAGGCAACTGAGTAGAGAACGGCCCCCTTCAATTTAGAAGCCAAAGTATTGACTGGTTCCCCATTCTCGATTTGGGAGTTCAATTTCGGCGGCCACTGTGCTTGCCGATCTGTGCAGATCCTCCAATGCAGGGCTGCCTTGAAATAGACTCGGCCCAAAACCGACCTTTTGACCTACTGGCTTTCCCACGGTTTGTCGTTTGGTCGTGAGTAGACGATGTCTTCGTCCCGCGGAACTTCTCGCGATTCGGGACCCGAATCCGAAGCGCAGACGTGGATTCGTGCGATTGTCCCTTTAGGTCAGATTGGTTGAACATCGATGGCACTGGTGTCAATTTGGCCCCAAGCATGTACACGTGCCAGAATGTTTTTGTTTTTTTTTGTTTAATGATGATTATTATTATTTTGCAACAGGGACACCTAGAGTTGCGAGGCTTATTTGTACAGTTGCTTGGGAGCTGTCCCACGTGATGAGGCCGACCCAAGGTTGGCACGGACGCGTGTCGGACAGGCCCAAGAAAGGGCGCAAGAAAGGGCGCAAGTCGTCGCGATGTTACACTGGGTGTAGGGCGGCGATATGGCTGTGGTTGTCAAAAAAAGGGTAACCCCAAAATGGCTTGCCCTGGTAAATGGAAACATGGACTAAAACCTGCGGTCCATGTACTGGTGGTTTAATTTTGACCCACACCCATATCTCGTGTTTCAGGTTGGCAACAGTTGCGCCTCAATTTGTTGTGCTGGTGCCGATTTTGGTTGGCGGACAGGAGTGAAAACACATACAAACAGATGCATTTGATTGTGCTCTCCTTGAAGTTACACATTCACTCGGTCGGGTTATTGAACACCCTGAATTTGCCCGTTGCCCGTGCAAAAGTTGCGCTGGTGTAAACCGACCCATCCACATCCGCGTTGCCTACTGAGGCCTGGCAACCATGAGAGGCTTGCCCTGCAGGCCTCGGGGGAGGGTGCTGAAGATCTTGTTTGTTTGAGTTTTAGTGTGTTTTAGTGTTTGTAACGTTACGTTTGTTTCTTATCAGGTCCGTGTGCTTTGCTTGTTTGGTCCGTCATTGATAGCCGGGGGCGGGGGGCACAAAAAACGTTACGTTTTGTTGTTTGCTTGTCTTGGTTGTTTGTTTCTGTTCATTGTTAGTGGGGGGAGGCTGCAAAAACAAAAAAGCTTAACAAAAAAGCTTTTTGCTGCCAAAGTTTGGAAAGGGTAAGCAAGATGAGTTGCAAAGAGTTGTCCGTGCAGATTGCACGGGCTTGGGGATGCAAGGGGTGGACTTGGGCTTCACGGCGGGTTCAAATGCGGGATGACTTGGGAGGGGTTATTCTGGGCAAGTTTTGACGAGCTGCTCAGCCATGATGAATGATGGCCAACTTGGAGAATCCTGACTGATTTCCGGTACATTGCCTACCAGCACACACACACACACACACCCCAACAACTACTTTTTCCCGTGATTTTTGAAAGGCCAAACAAGCAATATCTCGTAGAATCAATACAAACCCATCCCGGAACACGAATATCACAAATATGACAATTGTTCACTATGCAGATGTTTAAACACATCCTCCTGTCGAAACATCTAAGAACCATCATTTGGTTAATAATTCGTACATTTGTTATAGTCACTATTAGACCGCAGCAAACTTCATCCATTGAAGTGAGCCAACAACTTTATGGTGAACGCGGTTCCGAGCAAACACCCAGTAAACGACCAATGATGCATTATGCTCCGTTGTTAGACTCAACTTCTTGTCAGGCCGGTTACTCATTGTCATCCTGAAAGATTGTGCACATTCTCAAGGCTTGCTGATTGCAGTACTCGCATAAATCGTCGGCGAGTGGCAGAACTGTGAGACATGCAATGTTCAGATTTCCTGACCATTGTGAGCCCTACCCGAAACATCATCACTCCTTGACCTGCGCAATCTTGGCTGCTATTTGTTGGTTTCCTTCAACTTTTGCTCTTTGGGGGCATGCTGAGTCCCGCTGAACCGCTAACAGCTTTCACTTAAGCGCTGTCCCATCTTGCTATGATGGTTTTACCTTTGCCTGTAAGACCATGGCAAATGGGGTTCCTAGGTGGGTTTGCCATTGCTTCCCCGCAAACCCATGCCAAGCTCACGCGAAACTGTTTGAGGCAAAGACGTGCAGCTTCGGGTTAGAGAACCACCTTTAAATTCTTTACCGCCCTCAATACCAGGTTTCCATTGTGACCGCCCCAGAAAAGAACATGGGGCAGTTTCCCTTCAAAAAACACTTCCTTAAAAAAAGCCACCCCGTTTCAACTCCCTCGACTCCATTTTGAACCACCTCCAAAAGCAGGCGCCCTGGAAAGAGTTACACGTGCTCGCAGGCTGTTGTGGTGCCTTTGCAAGTGCGCCATGCCGCGGTCAGCGCCGAAGGACTGCTCAAGCGCTGAAGCCACACGGATTCCGCCGATTCCATTGCGAGTGAAGCGTCTGGCCAAAACTCTGGTTGTACTGCGGTAAACTGCTCGGTTTTTTTAAATTCGAGTCCTACTTGCCCGACTCGCCTCAAAATAGAGGCCGTGACTTTTGTGCATGATCCAATAGTGCATCCCCCAAACAAAGGACATATATATATATATACACATATATATAATTAGCGCCATTTATATATATATACATACATACATACATACATACATACATACATACATACATACATACATACATACATACAGCGCCGTTGGCCTCTTATTTGACCTTTGCGGAATCAAGAGCAGTAGCGTAGCGTAAGGGGGGCCCTGCCGGCTTTCTTGCGGGGGGCTTCGGCAGGACCCGACAGGGCAGATGCAGGACATCATGGCGCAGCAAGCCATGCAGCAGATGGCCATGCAGCAGATGGCCATGGCGAATGCGCAGCAAATGGGACCGGAGAGCCACTCTTCCATTTGCCCCTCAGTTCAGTTTGAAGGGAATCAGAAGGAACCCCACCACTTGTTTGGAAGCACCCAACGCCCATCCAACGCGGGTCCCTTTTGAGTGATCAAGGCGCCTTTTGCAATGGCGCGCATTGTTGGCAAGATTTCAATGTGTGCGGACAAGATTTGCACTAAGAATATTTGTTTATTTTTAGGGGTGCAACCTATCCTATCATGGAAGTGATGCCCTCAATCGCGAATCTTACCTTACAGGGGTCAGTTCTCAAGGGGTCGGCGGCCAAGTGGGGCCAAGTGGGGTCAACTTGAGTCCATGTACACCACTCCCACAGCATCCCAGTCTCCCGAACAGATGAATCAGGATTACAACAAACAATTGAACGTTTTTGAAGCAAACATCGTCTCCCACTTTTCGACACCTCCATTTGCTTAAGCCTCCTCGCCAGAGTGATAGATTCCCTTCCAAATTAACAGGGCCTGGTAGGTCAGAAGTGTTAGTTCTTACTCAGCGCTAAGGAGAGGAAGCCAGACAACTCGCACCTCTCCTGGTTTCCCTTGATAAGTTATAAGTTCTTATTCAGGGCTTTGGAGGAGAGGAAGCCAAAGGGGGGGTTGGGTTGAGTTTCTATGATTTTCGGCGCGCAGGACAGCAGCTGTACTGGCTGCAAGCTGCGCAAGGTGGGGACATCGAGCAGGCAGAAGGAGCCAGCTGGGCAACTTGCCAAATGGGGGACCTTCCTCAAGTTGGAGACCCTCAGTCTAGTTTGTTTGAAGGGGAATCAGAAGGAACCCCACCACTTGTTTAGCACCCACCGCCCATCCAAGGCGGGTCCCTTTTGAGTGATCAAGGCGCCTTTTGCAATGGCGCGCATTGTTGGCAAGATTTCAATGTGTGTGGACAAGATTTGCACTAGGTTCTGGCCGAGCAGTTAGAGACATGCGCATTTGCGCAAGTCAACTATGTCCCCCAGGATCGTGCCCTTTTACCCTTTTTGGGGCAGGGTTCCCCTACTAAAACAGACTACAGCAAAAAGGGTACCCTTATTCTAACCTCTCTACTGGAGGACCTAGTCAAACAGTGGCATGCTGAAGCTTAAGAAGTAGGGAGAGGAAGTGGTCATGGTTAGATGCCCATGGCTGCATCCTCGGATGGCTTAGATGCCCTAAGGGCCTCAACCCTAGGCCCCTTGTTGTGCCTATAGGTATAGATGTAACGATGGGCCGAGTATGAGAGTGTATTTTGTCTTTCTCGGGTCGTGTCAAAGGGCCGCCAAATCAAGGAAACCCACCCTTGTTCATGGGTCCTTGGTTCGCGGCTGTGTCAACACAAGGCATCGATGCGACATAAGGGAATGCGAAAGGAGTCTCCATGACCCTTAAGAAAATAGGTCCATGACCCCTTTATTTTGGGTAATGACCCCATTTTTAAAGGGTCATGGCGACTCCAGGTTCTTCCAAATGTTTCCCCTGACCAGCTGCGTGTTTTCCCCCAAGCTTCCGAAGATCCCGCCTCGAGACGCCTCTCGAGCGTTTGAAATGTGAAAACGGGCGCCGTCCTCCGAAGCCCGCGCCTTTCGCAGGAGACACGCTGGATCAGCCTGGTGAAAGCTGGGGGCCCTAAGCTGAAAGTGGTCGCTGAAGGTGCAGAAAAGGGTGTGTTTGTTCTTTTTGTTTTGGGGGGTGGGGGTTGGGTGGGTGTGTTTGGTTTTTGTTGCAACTACTAGTACAATGGATGGCTCAGGGGCTAACTTATCACATACAGCATTCAGATCAGATAAACCGCTTTGCTGCACGCGCTCCCAGGTTTTCACTCCAAATTTCTTTGCTGAGCATTGCCATTTAATCACTTCTGCAAGGACATCACATCAGCCCTTTTGGGACCCCCTACGTCGATTCTGAGTGGAAGGCAGAATCACGTATGTGTACTTATCATTCTCAAGATGCCGCGTGTGTCGCACTGATGATGCTTGCGAACCCTTGAATTGACATGTTGTTGGGGTACACGCTCCGAGGACGCTCTTTCTTGTTTTTTCTCTTCTGGGAAGATCAGGCCGAGTTTTGTTCAGCTTGCACTGCGCGGCGCTTTTGGCGACCGCATCCCGTTCAGAGCAAAGGAGTTGACATGAAACTCATGATTGCGAATCTTTTCCTACCAAGCTCAAAGAACTGCTGTAGAGACAAGTAGTCTGGCGTGACCTCCGGCTTTTGCAAACTGTCCTTGTCACTCAGCGACTGCAAGTCATGGGGGCCCCTGCCATTTTTCTTTTTTCTGGCACCGCCACTGGCCAATTTTTTTCTGTTTGGAGGCCTACCAGCCCGGAAGAGCGTGCGCTTGACGCAGCAGGCGACTGGCTGGTTGTCTTTCTAAGCAGCCTCAACAAGGATACCCTGAAAATAAGCATGGCCAAATTGGGCGCAGCGTCTGTTTGGGCTTTCCTGCGTTCAAGAAAGCAACCCCAGCCGTCAATCAATTTAGCATGCAATTGTGCGCTTTCAATTTTAATTCTGCTACGTCCGGGGGGGAACACAAATCTTGCTTTGAATTTTGACAAGTAGAGCCCTTGGGATGCCAGAGAAGCAGTCGCGTTGCTCGTTTACTTCGCTTTAGGGTCGGGGCCTGCAACTGATTCTGTGGGTTCTGAGCCAGTGTCTCTGTATTTAGGCCCCGAGGCGCTCCATTCACTCAGAAATGACTGTGCGGTGACTTGGTGGCTCTTAGCTTTTTAGCCTTTTAGCGTTTAATTAGTGGTAGATTCCACTTAAGCCACTAAAAGTTAAACTTTTGGTGGGAGATCTGAGGGCAGCCCAGGTGAGGAAGCATCGCGGTTTTGGATGGCGATGGTTCACAGGCCAGCGTCCATGGTTGTATTCTGACATGGACACGGTGGGAAGGCCCTCGAGTCTCCTCGTGAAAGCGACCTTTCTGCCAGCAACCCACCAGGGACACCTTGCACCTTGGTGGGTTCCCTTCGAGCATACCCTCAAAGATCCATATTGGAGGTCCAACATGTCCAGTCGATGGTCCATACAGGTGCCCTCAAAACAAGAAATACCCGCAGGTTTTGGCCAGGCTGTGCACGCGTCCCGCTTCGCATTGCGGTTTTAACAAAACAAACACATTTTGGGTCCTAAAGAAACATAATAGAACTATATATATATATACTGTATATATAATATATATGTATATATTATATATATAATATAACTCCATTGAGTTTTGGGTTTTACCGACTTCAGCCCAAGGCCTCCATCAAATCAACGCTCGGTCTGTTCTGGCAGGCGCCGGCGCCACAGCGCAGCAGCCGTCGGATCGACACCAAGGCGCCCGAATCGACTGGGGGGAAAAATATATTCAAAGCGCCCTGTTACAATTCTAGGGGAACCAACAAAAATGGTAGGTTGCCTTTCGCTTTCCCTTTGGACCAATCCCAAAAAACCGGAGGGACCCTCAAGAAGCACCCATCCATTTGGCCATGGGTCAAAATCCAAAATTCCGTCCCCGTGAACATCCGATTCAATCCAACCACTAAAGTAGGTTCTAACATGGGTGGTGAATTCACCGAAAACCCCCCAAAATGGGATCCCACAATGGTTTTGACCACCCTCCAGCCATGTGTGTCCCGGACCTTTAAACAAAAAGAATTAAAAAAAAAGAAACAAAATCAGGGAAGCCAAGGGACTTCGAGTCACTTGGCTCAGCCATGACTCTGATTCGTTCTTATGCGGGAATCACTCAACTGCTTGCGTCCAAAGGGCTACCAACTCAGGTCCCCATGGGTTTCTTTGCTAACTGAGAACCTTGTTCAACATTTGAAATGATGTGCGGCGAAATATGGCGGATGAATGATTTTACTTTATCCGTGGAGAGTTGCTTGCGGGCTTCTTTGCTTCTGTCTGAATCACGGGGAACAGATGCTTCGCATGTAGCCAAGCAAGGTTCCTTCGAGAATCCCGTGATCCCTTTCTTATTGATGATTTGATGATACTGGCTGCAGGTCGAGTTCAGTTGCTTTCTGTGCAGCCTTTGAAGACTTTCCCTCACAGCATGAGCCCGAAAGCCAGGCTCTTCACTGGCGGAACTTGTCCACTGACCAGCGTTTCCAGATGGTGCTCGGGAAATGAAGAGACTTCCAACTAGGAGACTTTCCTCTGCCACTGGGCTACCCCTCCCAGGTTTTGGAGCCCTTTTTGAGGGCGCCAAGTGTGCTTTTCCTGTGGGAACACTAGACAGGTTGCTTGCTCTGTCCCAAAGGACGGGGGTGTCAGCAACGCGACGTGGGGACATGACAAGAAAACGCCCATATAGGGGTGGTTGTTGGGAAACATTTGGCATTTTTACTCATTGTGGTTTAGTGGGAATTCCCCACTTAACTGCTAAAGAATAATTTGTTGCTCCCCTTCCAACGTCAACCAAGCATACGTCCAGGCAGGACTCCGGCGGGTAACCAATTGGAGGTTGAACAGAAAACCAAGGAGGACATCGCCAGGAAACCCAAGGAGGACTAGACAGGAAATCAAAGGAAGGAGGCCGTGCACCAAAATTTGCAAAAATCACCAAGACAGACACCCAAAGGAGCCGAAAAGGAAGTCAACAGGAAACCAGCGGGTAACGAGGAAGAACACAAAGATTGCTGCCCTGCAAACTAGCACGGAGCCAACAAGAATAACAGGTTGCCCCAAAATGGAGTTGCCTCCAACAACGGCGAAGTGTTTGGTGATTTGTTGGGGAGCAAACAACAGAGCAACCCACCACTGGCCACACTTCTCCGCAGGCCAAGGCGAAGCCAACAAAGAAGGCCAAGGCAACATCGCAACATCACTTGCAGACATGTGGGGGGGGAGGGGGGACGGGGGTCAGGTCTGGGTTGTTTCTTTGGGTTGGGTTCTTCCACAAAATGTCCATGTCAGAGGGTTACAATTCTTTGACCAGGGGCTAGTGGGGAGTCTTACTTGCTTTAAAGCCCCCGGTTGCTTGAGTGATGGTCAAGCCTAAGCGAGCTGCAGAAGAGGCCGACATGAGGTCACTGGCGTTGCGGATGCAGCCAAGTCCTGAGTCTTTCCACACAGTGCCCCAAACTTTTGTGTTACTTGTTCCTCGAGGATCCTTCGTATCGCAGAAGGAACCAACCATATCCCAACGGTTCTTAGTTTTTGAACTTACTGCACCTTGGGAAGGCCATGTAGATCATGTTTGGCTCCGGGAAAAATCATCGAGCTGGTATCAACAAATTCCGCGACCTTCCGGATTCCCTTCCAAGTTTGTAGGCTATGCCAAGCAGACGGGGGACACCCCCAGAATCACCCAGGGGCTGAGTCATCCGGGCTTTGTCATTATTTTCTTTGGGCCCTCCTCGTGACGGGCCCCAAGACTTGCGGACCGATGTCCGATGGAACATGTTTTCCATGTGGGACCCAAATAGGTACCCCCCCGAAAAAACACGAGAAATGGTGACGTTCCTTCACACCAAGCCTCACCTCCTGAGTTCCCGGACTTCAAGCTTTTTGGGAATTCCATTTTAGTTGCTTGTCAGCAAACAGTTTAGACTTTTTCTGGCCAGTCCACTCAAGAAGTGACCTGAACAGTTCCCGCACAAAAAAACACATGAAGCTAACTCTATGCCAGTCACAGGACTGGTAGCTGCCTGCCTGCCATAGATGAAGGCCAATGTTTCCCGTTCGGTTACAAGTTACAAATGTAATCCCACTGTTTGTGCGGGCCAGGGTTCCACATTTTGGCTACCCAAGATCGGCTTCTCCTTTTGTGGGCAATGAACCACCCCTGGGTTTCAGTCAAAAAGTGGAACCCTGGTGTGGGCAATGTTGCGAAACCCATGTTGGCCAGCCAGAAGAACGAATCGATCGAACTTTCACTGGAGCCGACGTACACTTTTCGAGCTCCGAGCCGCAGCTGACACAGGCTGCAGCGTCATGGATTTCCAGGCTGCCAGATCTGTTTCCATTACACCCTGGGCTGATAGTACTCTTTCTATCAGTGTCAGAGTGGCCTAGACCACGTGATGTTTCGCTTTTCACCGGGGCGGTCCAGCGACTACCAACCGCCAACGTTGCCACTCGCTCAGCCATGGCCTTGAAATGGGCAGCCCTGAGTGTGGCTTTTGCAGAGGTGGGACCGCGGGTGGCTTCAGGCTTCAGGCCCCCCCCCCCCAACCCGGTGTCCATGAAGTCAATGGTGTTGACCCCGGATTGCTACACCTCTGCTTAAATTAATAGGGGGTCAACCTGAGTGACGACTTGAGGGGAAGGCTGGGAACACCCCATAGTAAACTGGGGTTGATTCGTCAAGGGTCAATGTTAAAGCAAAACAGCCACACAACGCTATTTGCCGTCAGCAACATCCGGCAGTCCCGAGCATTAACTGGGTGGCCAAGAAGCAGCGAGCGAGGTTTGGTGGCAGATCTGACAACGAAGAGAGAGGTGAATTCAGCAGCGATACTTTATCAGGTTTTCTTCCACAATAGAGCAATTCTGACTTCAGATGCTTATCAGATAATTCTGACCGTAGCAATTGCAATTATCCAAAAGCAGAATCCATAAAGAGCTGGTCTTTAGACGCACCAGACTGGATGCAACTACCAATAGCTTCAAACCAAAAACGATCCAACGATGCTGCGCCATAACTTGTTGATTCAGATCATTCCAACCAGAGCCTGAAAGCAGACGCGCTCATCCAGCACGTGGGAGGTTGCCATCCGGTGCCATCCGCTGATTCTGAAATCCCCGGTTCATATCCAGGGCCCATTTCTTCGGGGAGTTACACACCCGCAGCCATTGCGTGCCACAAGAAGCATGCTGCAGCCAAGAGACGACTGCGCATGGTTTCGCCTAGCCTCAAATGGGCAGGATCGTAAAGTCGCCGAAACCACTGAGCAGGCGACAACATTGAGCAGACTGGACTGCAGCCTTCATGAGTCACTCCTTTTGTTCAACCTCGCAGGCCATTTGAATGGTTGTTGTTGGGAAACATTTTACATGTTTGCTTATTGTGCTTTAGTTGGAAATCCCCACTCAACTGCTAACATAGGTTTTTTTTGGCTCCCCTTCCATCGTCAACCAAGTTTGGCCACATTGCGCTTTAGGCAACCTATTTTTCATGACGCGCTTTTGGCTGCTGTTTCTGCTGCTGGCGCCTGCTGACGCCGCGCTGAATCTGGGCGCCTTCGGAACGGATGACTTGGTCAAGCACTTGCGCTCTGCCATCTTTGTGGAGACGCAGTTTCTGGAGGACTCATGAGTCATGAGTAATAAACCGTCCCATTATAGGGGGGTGTTCCCTCCAAAAGTGGTCTGAATCCAACCACTCAAAGGGGACACCCCCCTATTAATCAACCAGGGTTTATTGATCCAGGGTTAACACTAGTGAGCATCCATCAGTTCAGCAGCTCCCTATTTCATCCTCTTTCCCCTTCTCATGGTCTTAAGCATTGGGCCATTCGAGGTGAGTTTCCTTTGGTCGGGGTGATGTTTTTTCCAGGGGAAATGAATCGAGAGCTGTTCAGGGGGCAGCTTCCGATTTGTGTGAAACTGTACCTATTGGTTGGGTATGCTAACTTCTTGCTTACAACCAGCCTTACGAAGTCATGCCATGTTGGCCATGGCTTGCTTCCTCAGGCTGGTTGGTTGGTTGCTTGGTTGGCACGGTTGGTTCCCCCTCACTCTGGGCGGTCAGATTTAGGGATTCGGGCCACTTTTCGACCTCTCTTGTGGCACATGTGAAGCTGAGTCACCCAAAACGGAAGACAACCTCCCGCATCTTTTGGATCAGAAGATGAGCTAACTGGAAAGAAGGGGAAGAAAAAAACAGCCCCTACCCACATCCATCCCCTACCCACCCATCCCCTCCTACCCACCCACCCCCCCTCCCCCCCGCACACTGCAGGAGCGGATGCCTACGCGTTGCTCCTCGCTGGACGGCCCCCGCTGCCTGGAGACGCTACAGGGCAAGTCAGTGCTGGACGGCCCTGGCGTGATCCCGGAGCGCCGGGGGAAAGGGGGGGGTTGGGGTTTGGGGGGATTGGGGGGGTTTGGGGGGGGTTTGGGGGGGTTTGGGGGGGTTTGGGGGGGTTTGGGGGGGGGGTTGGGGGGAACACCACTTCAGTTGGTTCGGCGGAAACAACTGTGCTTTGTTCATGCGATTTGATATAGACTCCAAGGTGTTGGTTTCCTACCCGCACACCTGAGTTCTATGGCTTGCGACTTGCGCTTGGCAGCGGCTGTGAGGAGCGGCTGCTTCATGACCTCGGCGATGGTCCTGGGGACTTTGCCACCCCGGAGCGGCTTGACACCGAAATCCGTCCAAAGCCCTTCGATTCCGAATCGAATTCGCGCCGTCGGTTTCTTGAGGGTAATACGATCTCAGACGTTGCAGCTGAGAAAGACTAGGTCCCCCAGGATCGTGCCCTTTTTGACCCCTTTTTTTGGGGGAGGGTTCCCCTACTAAAATAGGCAAACCAGAAGAAAGTTGGTATACCTTATTCTAACCTAGAAGATCAGACCCAGAGCCGTCTTGCTGGACGTCAAAGAAAAGCGTTTGAGACAATGCGAAAACCTGAAGCAGTCGCAAGAACTCCAACCACACTTCACCCCAAACCATGGTGAATGACCGGTACACCAGGGTTGACTCAAAATGATGTTCTGAGATATTTGTAGCTTGACAAGCTTGTAGTCGTCCCTGGGAAAGTCATGAGTCATACCAACACATGACATGCGCATGCACACACCAATGCGCGAAAGTATTTACACAGGCACTACACGCACAGTCTTCATGCCTTTATCATACTCATCATCGTGGCTGCAGCCCCGCAAGCTTTCTCACTCAGTTCTTCAAGCATTACTTGTCAGCACGAGAGGAAATCAATCTGCCTGTGTTCAGCAGTCTAGGAATAGAACGCGCGCACTCAAAATACAAGCGGTCAGATATTTTGAGCATTCACAGATGGGCCTTTGTACAACTATGAGGCACACCCTCACAAATCAGAGCGGCGGTGCGCATGCATCCGCGCAGGGCATGGGCTTTGAATCAATGCGGTCGGAATCACGAGTGTCGGCAGGAGATTTGCTTTCTGACATGGGGGTTAATATGGGCAACTGTTTGACCATTTGGTGCTTGAAAAATCATTTGTTTAGCAGGGCTCCTTAAAAGGTACATTTTGCAACCATTCGAAACATGTTGCTTTTTCAACACCAAAATAAAGTTGGAAACCACCATTCACAAGTTGCAATGTTCAGGTGTATAATGCATCCGGATCTCTGTTTCGTGGTTCTACCCACTGGTCATCCCATGGGATCTGTTAATCACCCACATGGCATCCGCGACTGGTATCCTCCTGGCCCACGGCCGAAAAAACTGACCATGTGGCGCAGGCTTGACAATCAGAACCTAGGTCCCCAGGATCGTGCCCTTTTTGCCCCTTTTTCTTTTTTGGTTGGGAGGGTTCCCCTACTAAAATAGACCAACAAAGAAAAAATAAAGGGTACCAACTTATTCTAAGCTCTCAAATCTGGAGGACCTAGGAACTAGTGGTGTTCAGTTTGAGGATCAGAACAACTTCGAAGGTTGAGGCAAGTTTCATTAGATGACCACTGGTAGGCAGTTTGACGCACATGTTTCTGGAACATTGTCGAAACTCGCGCTGTTACAGGTGCGGTGGACAGGGTCCCCCCCATTTCTCTTGTTGGATCCTCCAAAGTGGTACTGGTAGTGTCAATGGAAACCGCCAGTAAGTTGATCAACTTTTGGAGGGAAATTCCGGTGACCCCTGGTGGAGGGTTCTTGGAAAGAGATGTCGCTGAGGTACTTTGCATTGGACTCGTTCCTGCGTCAGGGCCAGTCTTTGCAGCAGCTGCAGCAAGCACCGCAACTGCTGCAGGGGCAAGAGGCAAGCGGAGAGAGGGACCCGAACACTTGGCGTTGGTGTTTGTTTGCCCCCAACGGGTATATCAAGCCTCCACAAGGTCTGCTTGCGGGGAAAAGCCCCTTAAGCTGGTGTTGGGTAGGGAGGTCTTTTAAGAGTGCGTCAAGACTAACTGTTTGGGGCCAGTTGCAAAAGAGGACCAAAGAGACATCAGTCGTTTTCAAAGTTTACCTCGCTAGGTGATACAAGAGAAACCCATGCCGAAACCCGGCGCGCGGGATCATGATTCATTGTTTTGACAGCTGATCGTTTACACAGCCTCTGTTTTGTATCGGTGGATATGAGCGTAAACACCACAGAACACGAATTGAACCAAGGGGTTCGCGAAGCTTGCGAGCTGCGAAGACTTGGTTGCCACGCAGGTTTCACTGATTGCATAGCTCCCAGAACCCGTCTCCCAAAGTAGGGTGCCGGAATGGACAAATGCCGGATGGTTGCTTTTTTCTCCCAAGCATTTTTTTGAGCACCATCCTTGGACACAGCCTGTGCCATGCCAGTCCCAACGCCCATCGATTGGATCACGTGGGAGCAGGCCGAAGACTTCTTGGCGAGCGGCCGCAGCAGCACGACCACAGGCACCTTCTCGCGCACAAGAACGGGGGGCCAACGTGTTTGTTTCTTCTTCTTCTTCTTTTTTCTCTCGCACCCCACGACTGTTTGGTTTGGCCTCCGTCTTCTCCATCTTACCTGGAATATGGGCGCAAGAAGCAGCTCACCCACGGCTTTTTTTGTTGGACCTATTTTCAAGATAAGAACTTGTCCAGTGGCAACATGCATCGCATTCATTGCGGATGCAAATTGCAGACTGAGTTTCACAACTTAGATTCGTTTTAATTTTACAAGTAGACAAACATGGAATGTAGACCTATATTTTACCTGGATTCTGGGCCGCAAAAAAGCAGCTTGGTCGAAGAACCCGGGTTCGCTTAATTACTTTCCAGACCTCCGGTGGTCCCCTTTGCTCTAATTTGGGGGTGCGAAGCGCTGGGAACTGGAAAAGCAAAGTCATGCTCGGCAATGTCTTAGTCTTCACTTACGCTGAGCACCTGAAAGGCTCGCCCATATTTGTCGGCTCTGTGCGAGGCTCTCTTGTTTCTTGAGTGGCAGCCGTCCCTTTTGTGCCAGGGTTTCACTTTTTGCAGCTGGGTTTTGGTCCCCCCTCAAACAACCTTCACACGAACTGGGGTGAAGT